ATATTCAGACTCTTTAATCTAAAAGTTGTTTTACAAGCATAATACATTGGCTAAAAATTTCACGAATAAATCACATATAAAAAGATTGTATTTTTTCCCCCTAAAATAGATTATTCCAAGAAAAGTCTCTCCATATCTATAATCATGGTTTAAAGATGGGAACCGCAATTAGTTGCAATTTAATTTTCATATGCCGCAATTCAATTTTATATGCTGCAATTAATTGCAATTCAATTTTTATATGCCGCAATTAGTGACCCTGATTAAATTTTCAATGTTATATCAAATGACTGGCCTGATTAACAAATCTCAATATTTATCATATTCCCTTAGTCCTTTTGATCCTTTGGTTTTATCCAAAATTCCATTACGAATTGAATTACATAGAAATGTATTCGGGTGCTACCAAAAGATATGTGATACAACATTGCAATTATTCCTTGAAAGGCTTTACAAGAAAATATACCTAGGGATTTGATTGAAACAAATAAGAAAGTATGCATTGAGAACAGTAAAGTATATGGAATGTTATATGAAATGTTAACAGTTCTCCATGCAAATATGCCTTGAAAAATACAAATCACATATATAAAAGAATATATAAAAAATGTTGTTGCATGATTTTTTATAACCAGTGCTGACTAAATTCGTAAATGATATTTCATTGATCAAGAGTGATTATTGTAGAAAAGTGTATTTAATTTTTAAAGAGGAATAAAGAAGAAAGTTGCTATTAAACTTGGTAATTTTAGAGACTTGTTTACAGCCCAAAAACCAAATCCACCAACATGTATGTGATTTGACCCTCAGCTGATTTTTTTATTTTGGTCAATCTAAAAAATGTTGTTGCATGATTTTTTATAAACTGAAATTTTTGGTTTGATTATAACCAGTGCTGACTAAATTCGTAAATGATATTTCATTGATCAAGAGTGATTATTGTAGAAAAGTGTATTTAATTTTTAAAGAGGAATAAAGAAGAAAGTTGCTATTAAACTTGGTAATTTTAGAGACTTGTTTACAGCCCAAAAACCAAATCACCAAAATGTATGTGATTTGACCCTCAGCTGATTTTTTTATTTTGGTCAATCTCATTTTCATGCTATGCGAGCAGTATATTTTTTCACCAAATATAATCCTTATATTGCAAGTAAAAAAAACTCAATTTGGCCAGAGAGCCCTAGTGATCGATTTTACTAATACAACTCCATACCATCATGGTGCAAAAAATATTGCACCAAGTGCAAAATTTTACCAATCTTATAATTAATAAATAAACAAATCATAACATGAATTTCTGAAAAATACCTTATTATATTATTATATTAATATGGCAGGCGCGAAACTCAAATTTGTATATGTTGATCATTGACAATTAGGAACTCTAATGTGGACGGACATTGTGACGGAATAGGATACTATTATAAACCATGTGCATAAAGGCACGGAATAGGTATGGAAAAATGCATTTTTCTATATTAGTACTCTCAGTATTAAAAGCAAGGGCAATCAACTAATGTAAAGCCTTTTTTTCTTATCCAAATTATATAATTGGAATTAATCTCTTCAGGGAAATAAGCTTACAAAAGTGCTATATCTTTACTGCAGAGGTGCAGAGAATCTTGTTGTTGGTTAATTCTTTTGTCACGAGACTTGGTGAAATTGAACAAGTTCTTGAATGCTATATGCAATAATCATTTTAGTAGAATTTTAACTGAATTCGATTCAATTAACAAATCTATCACAACATTCCATAACCTATTCAATTAACATTATGCAATTATCCAAAGAATTGAACAAGATCACCAAAGTGTAATAAAACTATCTGAAGCTTCTTCAAATTCATCTGCTATTTCTTTTGATTCTCCTAATTCCTCTGCTAGTATAAATAAAAATTGTCTAGTTTAACTTTTTTGTCTAGACTCAAACCAGCAAACATTTTCAGGAATTTAATTAACTGTCTGGACATGCTTTAAACAAACCTTTGATGCGGATATGGTTCTGGGAAGTCACACTTTTGAGAAATGTGTTATTCCATAGCTCTATGCATTCATAAAACTTGGAGAAAATATTACATAGACAACAATAAAAAACTTTTATAATAGAAGTGGATCAGATTGGTTCATGGATAGATAGTATGAAGTAGTAAGATGGAACTGCCATTTTATGGTTTAGGGAGCAGCGTGACCCCTCTCTTTGAACACTTACTACTCCGAGAAGCATTCATATAAATAATAAAGATATAGTTATCACAATTTTTAAAATAATAATTTCACATATAAAAACTTTTCGCTAGATTAAATGTAATTGTCAATATTCATATCAATGTCTGTCTCTTTGAGGTGCATTCTAACTTCCTTGATACTAGTCTTGTCCATATCTCCATCCTCTTTGGATATTATCGTATTTTTGATGTCTTTCATTTAATCCATAACCTTGATCTTCTGTAATTGTCTTTTACAAGTACATAAGATAACATTTACCTCCAGTGAATCCCTTGGCTGCTAATTGTGAAAATCAGAAGAAAGCCTGTGAATATATTGATTTTATTTTTCTCTATTATTTTTTTCTAAATGTTCAAATTTGATAGTCTCTTTGCATAATCAATCATAATCAGATAATCAGTATGTGATGTTAGATTTTTTTAGTAGATAAAAATTATTAGATTTCTGATTTATAATTCCTTGGTATGTCTACTTCCATGATTAAAAAATATTTTCCTTGTCTAAAAAAACTATACTGCCTATATTATTTTTAATGGTGAATATGTGGACTAGGGTTTCCAGTCCAAAATGTTTTCTCAAAGCCCAAACTAGTTTGGGCAATTTGGCTTCTCAGCATTTTTTATAAACATAAACATTAAAAAATTATACCAATCTAATTTTAATTTAAACAACTTTAAAGTAATTTCGCCCAATTTGGCTAATAGTTTGGGCTTATAAAAAAGTAATTTTTGCCCAAAGTGTTTCAGCAATTTTGGCTGGAAACCTTAATGTGGACAAGGATAAAATGTACATTCATTTTACATACTTTATGCACAATTAAAGGAGATACAACTTCTACACAAGAAGTCTGCAAGTGTGCAGAAAGATTCTTGGAAAAGGAGAAGAAGAAGGTTAGTTGGATATAGAGATGTAATTGAAATGGTGGCTTCTTATCAGGCTGTTGCACCTCTTGAAAGCTCCATTCTGACAAGAGTGGGATAGAAATATCTCTACAAGTGGCTATGCTTTTTCTTTGCCAGGCTCTTGTAACTCTTTTAAGCTGCATCCTGACTAGGGGGAGGCTACTGCAGTGCTCCCAATGATACAATGATGTTGGAATCCAGGGAGGAGTACAAGGCCCTGGGGTTTACCGAGACTGCATCAATCGTCAATGACACTTTCACTAATCTTCCCTCACAGCATCCAGACCAGATAAGGCTGCTGACACGCTAGCCGAAAGTTATCTGCAACTATCCTACCTCTAGGGTAAGGATGGCTCTGCAACTAAGTCGCAACTTTGGAGGAATATTAAGAGAATCTGCAACTCGTTTCAAGCTCAGGAGGTTGCAATTCGGAGCAGGGTTGATGACCTTCATCAGGAAAATGGGTACAAATATTATGCGTATATAATACGCAATTGCAGGGATTAAGCATATAATATATGTACAATTTGCATACATAAAAAAATACGCGATTTGTACACATATTATGCTTAATCCCTGCAATTGTGTATTATATACACATAATATTTGTACCCATTTTCCTGATGTTGGTAATAAAAAAAATAAAATTATTATTATCATCATTATAACTTGCCCAATATAAATATATTTTGTTAATATTTAACTTATTCCAAATGATCTGATAATTAAAATATACCAAATACAAATAATTTCTATTTTCTAAAAATAAATAATCAATAATAAAAAAAATATGATTGCGTAATGGATTGTACACTGTCAGATCGTTCAACCTTTACAACCTTTAAAAAAAGAAATTAATTTATTAATAAATAATTAATAATAAAAAAAAATATGATCGTGTAATGGATTGTACACTGTCAGATTGTTCAACCTTTGCAACCTTTAAAAAAAGAAATAAATATATTAATATAAGCACACATACCTTTTAATAATAGCAGTAACATCAGTGCTTGTATCTTGAAATAATTATTTACATTGATATATAAATGTATAAATAAAACCATTAATAAAATTTTCTTTTGTTTAACCTATATATATTACATATTAATAACATCTCCATCAGATCCTTGTAATGCATTAATAAATAAATACTTTTTAATTTAATCAT